TCCTCTGTCTTTTCCCCTTTGCCCTTTGCATTTCTAGTGTTCATTTGCTTCTGATTTAACAACTTGAGAAGGCCCCCTAAGATTCACAAACTGACGCTCTACGAGAATTGTGTGTGTTTATGTTATTCAGACTTTTCATGGTTCTCTCAACTATGAAGACACAATCACATTCCTTACCACCAGTGCTTTTCCTCATTGTCACACTGAATGCACCTGCACGCTTTTCATGCATGTATAGAAGTGTAGCTTGTCCTTTAGAATGCCAGCTTAGGGAGATGGTCTCTTCTCTACCTCTGCACGTGAAGAGTAGCACTGTTGAACCTGAGGTTCATCTTTCTCTTTGTATCACAGCCTTGACTGAAGGATCCAAGTCTGTTTTGTTTTCCAAGCAAAACATTTCCAATGAGATCCAAGATCTCATTCTCCCTTCATTTTCTGATGCTTCTTTCCAAATTCTGATCCACATTTCTATTTGCATATTAATTTTTATCTATGGCCCGGTTTTCCTACAGCCTCTCAGTACTCCTATTATCCTTCAAGTCAAATCATTCCAGGTTAGAGCTTTAAAGTCCCTCCATAAGTGTGTAATCTTTTCAAAAAATGGTGCTGGGACAATTCGATATTCATTTGCAAAAAAATGAACGTTCTACCTACTTCACACTATTCACAAAAATTTACTCCAAGAGCACCATAGACCTAAGTGTTAGCGCTAAGACCACCATTAAGAAAATGAAAAGACAAGGGATAGGATGGAAGAAAATACTTGCGAAACAAATATCTGATAAAGGAGCTGTATCCAAATATATTAAGAACTCTTACAACTCAATAAGACAAACAGCCGAACTTTAAAAATGTGTAAAAAATTAAACTTAAATTTATCACATGGCTCAACAATTCACTCCTAGATGCTTACCCAAGAGAAATGAAAATATATGTCCATACAAAGATTTGTATGTGAATGATCACAGCAGCATTTCTTATAAAAACCCCAAATTGGAAACAGCGCAAATGTTTACCAACTGGTGAGCAGATAAACAAAATGTAGTATAGCCATACAGTGGAACTCTATTTGGCAATATAATGAGCCGGCTATTTATACATGTAACAGCAAGGATAAACCTCAAAAACATTATGCTAGTAAAAGAAGCTAGACACAGAAGACTACTTATGATGCAATTCTATTTATATGACATTTCTAGAAAGGGCAAAACTATAGAGATAGAAAGCAGATGGACGGTTGTCTGGCGGTGGGAGCTGTGATTGATTGCGTGTGGGCATAAAGGATAGGGGAATTTAGGGGATGGTGCAGTGGAAGTGCTCTAAAACTGGATTGTGATGCTGATTGCACAACTATACATTTACTAAAACTTAATGAAGTAGCCCCTTAAAATGGGTGAATTTTAAAATGGGTATATAAATTATTCCCAATAAAATGGTTCTCTGTAGTGCTTTGCTTATGACATAGCTATCCAGTTTTTGCTTCATCTTACCCCAAGAAGATGCATCGCCCTTTGTCCTTTCAGCAGTCTCCCTCAAGCTTTAAAGTGCATAAGACTCACTCGGGGATCTTGTTAATATGCAGATGAGAATTCAGTATGTCTGATGTGGAGCCTGAGATTTTGCAGTTTTAACAAGCTCCAGGTTGACACCAGTGATGCTGGTATGTGGACCATACTTGGCGTGAGAGGCCTTTTAACTTGTTCATAGCCCAGGCTGCACATTAGAATCTCCTGGCGGTGCTTTTAAAATAAAATTAATGCATGTCTTTACCCTGAGATTAAATCAGAAAGCTCTTCAGGTGATGCTGATGTGCAGTCAGGCTGAGAACCTTAACAAAACGGGATTTTTAGAAACCATAATGCTAAAAATAATGATACACTTCTACCGATGTCTCTGACTCCCACCCCACAGTGTAGCCCATAACCTAGAGTCCCCGAATTATGATCAGAATCTTTTGGAGTAACTAGGAGAGTAATTGAGCATGCTCTAACAGCAGATTTTAAAATAACAAAATATAACATTTTACATGTGTTTTTTCCTCTCTACTCTGTGAGGTAGGTGCTTTTACTTTCTACATAGTTTAGAAGGAACAGAGTAGAGAGAAGTGAAATGACTTGCTTAAAATAACAGAGCCAGTATGTGGTGTACCTGGGATTTGAAAAGAGGCACTCAGGTTCCAGAACCCCAGGGAAGCTGGTGCTTACCAGTACCTGCCTCCAGCCATCTTTGTTTCTGTCAGACCTTCAGCCCCAAATTCCTATCTGTTCTTCTATCCATGGAAATGGAACCAAACCCCACCCAAGTCTTGAAGGCTCTTTTATTAGTCTCCAAAAACACACCCCAGCCTCCTAAGGGTGTTTCTATACCCAAGGACTTGGATCTTGCTTGGCTCATAGGGCTCTGTTGATGCTAGAGGCTCCCCTGAACTCTCTTACTCAGATTGCTTAAGCTGAAAGAGAAAGAGCCATCGTGCAAATTTTTATTACCGTTTTTCCTTCTCTCTGAAAGCTCTAACACCTTAGACCTGAGCTTTCTTTTGTCGTTAATCCTTAACTGAGTTCCTTGAAGATGGATATATGAAAGGCTTGATGTTAGAGTGAGATTGGGCAGGGTATTTAACCAGCCGAGCATCTGTATTTAACCTCTGTTACCCCCTTGCCCCCTTTTTAAAATAGAGATTGGCTTTCACTGAAGCTTCAGGCAATTTTAGTGCCTTAAATATTCTTTTTTAACATAATGTTTTTAGAAAGCTGGGTGTCAGGAAGGCCCATTTTTAATTTATCAATGGCATTAAATATGCTGAAGCATACTTTACTTTTGAGGGCAGAATTAATCTTTTATCAGATGCACCATGGATGCTGTTGGTTTCATTATTTTAGGAAAACGCTCTTGTGTTGTTTTAGAATTAATGCTACCCACATACCTTTATTTTCCAATATCTATTCAGAATAGATAAGATACAAAGAGTCACCAATGTTAAAGCTAATGCAAAGGAGATGTAAGTCACTGCTGTTTGAAAAACTAACAAAAGTATTTAACTTGTTGATTTTATCTTGACTGTGAGGAAAGTGAATCTGAAAGTAAGCCTATGATAGAGAATATTTGACCTTCTTTTATAAGCTACAACTTTGTGGAACAGCAGAGAAAATGTTAGCACAATTATAGGAAGAAAATTTTATACATGGAAATTTTTGGGAGGTGGGGGAAGACAAAACAGGAATTTAATTCTGCGCTTTATTTAAATAAAGCAAGGCCAGGTAGAAATGCCAAAAGGTGTCAATGTAACTACTTTGCAGCACTGGGGCTTCAGGCTTTCATATGCCTGAGAGTCAGTCACTCAGGGGCTTGTTAAAAATGCAGGTTCGTGGACCTCACCCCTTTGGCTCTGAATTTTTAATAAATTCCTCAGGGGATTCTAATATGTATTACATTAGTCAGGGCTCTCCAGAGAAACAGAATTAGTATGAGGTGTGCGTGTGTATGTAAAGAAATTATTATTTTTTTCTTTTAATTATTTTTTATTATGAAATACACATTTTTTAGAATTAGTTTCAGCTGTACAACACAGTGCAATAGTTATACTTTTTACCCCTCGAAGTGATAATCACCCTCCCCCAATCTGCTGTCCCCTTCCCCCCAATATCATACATATCTATTACAATTCCCTTGACTCCACTCCCACACTATACTCCATGTCCCATGACTATATATATATTCACTTATAGTTGACATACAATATTATACAACATCAGCTTCAGGTGTACAGTGCAGTGATCTAGCCTCTTCCCCATCCATGATGCGGTCTCCCTAGCAAGACATGTGGCCACCTGACACCCTACAAAATATTGTAAAGAAATTATTGTAAGGAGTTGGCTCATGTGAGTATGGAGGCTGAGAAGGCCCCAGATCTGCAGTTGGTAATCTGGAGACACAAAAAAGCTGACGGTATAGTTCTATCGTACCACCTGAGTCCAAAGGCATAACAGCCAGGAGAGCTGATGGTGTACATTCCAGTCCGAGTTTGGGTCTGAAGGTAGGAGACCCAAGCCCCAGCTGGAAGATAGTCAGGGAGTGCGAGGGAGGGAGTGTGGCGGGGCTGGAGAGGGATGGTGGGGGAGGGAAGGAGTGGAGAGTCTTTCTTACTCACCCTCTTTGTTCTATTCAGACCTTCAGTGTGTTGGTTAAGACCCCCCCCCACTCACATTGGGGAGCCAGTCTGCTTTACTCTGCCATTTCAAATGTTAATCTCATCCAGAAACACCCTCACAGACACACCCAGAATGTTGTTTAACCAAGTACCTGGGCACCTAATGGTGTAGCCAGGTTGACACATAACATTAACCATCATAACCACCCAAATCTGAAGAATTTTAGGCAGTGATGGACAAAACCAGATTCGTTGGATGAAACTCTTGAAGGGAGAAACCTTATAAAGAGACCATTGTTACACTTTGGGAACCAATTGTGTAATTTCAATTATAAAAAATGTCCGGATTAGGCAAATGCAGAGACAGGAAGTTGCCAAGGGGTTGGGGGCAGAGGGCGGAATAAGGGAGTGACTGCTAATGGGCACGGGGGTTTCTTTTTGTGGTGATTGATGAACATGTTCTAAAATCCGAGATGGTTGCACAACCTTGTGAATATACTAAAAACCACTGAATTATACCTTTTGAAAAAGTGAATTTTATGGTATGGGAATTATCTGTCAATAAAAAATACATATATGGAGAGACAGAGATGAAGAAGTGGAGGTAGATAGTGTCAACGTCTTTGAGATGTTTTCTCGAAGAAGTCAGAAAACATGGGGTGATAGAAGGGATGTCGGAGCAAGGAAGGATTTTTTTTAAAGAGTTCCTGCAGCATGTTTGTGTCCCGACTCCCATGATCCAGTGGAAAGGGGAATGTTAATGATGCAAGCTGGGCAGAGGGAATTCGAGGAGCCAGATCTTTAAATTCACTGGAATGCCGCCTTGAACAGCTTTCTTCCCGTCTCTCCCCAGGTGACAGATCAGTCCGTGAAAGCATTTGCTGAGCACTGTCCTGAACTTCAGTATGTTGGCTTCATGGGCTGTTCGGTTACTTCTAAAGGAGTCATTCACCTAACCAAGGTAGGCACCGTGGCGTCTTCTCCTCGTGTTGCCCATTATTGTCCATATCAACGCCCTCACATTGTTAAATGTACCCGAAGGAGGAACAGTCAGTCTATTATAGAAGTGTGTTTGTGTATCATAAAGTTAATCAGTTTAAGGCAACAGCACCAAACCTACCCTTTCTCACATGGGTTACTCATTTACACAAGAAGCTTATGTTTTTGTCTTTTCATTGCTAATGACTATGAAATATATGCAATAAAAAGACCTGGTATATGTGACAAGAATTATTTACGTATTAACCTAATGTATTGCATTTCAAAGATTTTTTGATTGAAGTTTTAATTGCTTACATATTTTTAGGTCCTCTGAACATTTAACTTTTAGAAGGGAATATGGTCAGTGCATAGGATTAAGCTGAATATGGAAGGTGAAAAGAGAGGTGAATGTATATCAAAAGTGAACCTTAAAGCTTTCATATATAGCAAATATATAAAATCTCCTATTTTAACGGTGATGAAAATGCCAGTTCCTTTGTAATCTCTCACTTATGTGCCATCTCTACTGCTTTCCAGAGCTGTAAAATAATTAGGAGCTAATTCTTACATACATGTAATGAAAAACTGGCTACTATAAAATTTACCTGTGTACTATCTGAAATTTGTCACTGTGTAGATTTAAACCAGATTATATAGTACTTAGGCGAATGGATGTGAGTCTTGCCTTTTCCACTTATTAGCTGAGTAACATATTCATTCAACCTTCATTCACTACTATTAGAAAACTGCTGTGTTAGCAGCACAATGCTGAAATAAAACGGGTTAAGATCCAGGCCTGTTTTGGTTTGGTCTCTTCAGGTCTCTTTAAGCTTACAGTTTAGTGGGAAATAATGTTTGGGTTTTTTTCTTCCCTAGAAAAAGAGCAAATATTTACGAGTTACCTAGGACTCTGACAGGAAGGCACAGTGGGTAGGAGCCTGAGCCCTGTTGTCAGCTCAGGTTTGAGTCTTGGTTCTGCCACTTAACTGGCTAAGCAGGCAAACTGTTGGGTTGTCAGAAAAGTCATGATGCATTTTTGCAACGAAAAACAAAAAATAACGTCATGACTTTTCCGACAACCCAATATTTTTCAGGGTATTAAATGAAGTAGCATATGCACGGTGCTTGCCTTAGTATCGAGATGGCAGTAAGTGCTAAGTGAATGGTAATTACTAATATTAAAGTAAATGCTATGATGTCAGAATTCCTGGAACAGCAGAGTAAACTTTGCGAAAATAATACCAAATCACTGTTCTAGTCTAGTTATCTGAAACAGAGCCTGTGATTGTCCTGTGTCTTAATTGACTGATCAGCTTTAATTGTATTTTGAGGATTGGAGCCTAAAGCCCATGGAGAGGATAGCCACCTTCTCAATTATTGCTGTATTGGAACATCGTAGCTTAACTGAGAACATATGTAACCATAATTTTTCATTCATTTCCTGTAACCTTGGCCTGAACAGCTTGGTGGATGAATGTTTTTCTAGTCACATCTAATGCTGTTTATAGTGTAGAGTTGAAATGCCTTTGGATGAACAGATTGTGCACAACCAGTGTTGTAATGACCATATGTGGGATTTTTACGATCACTCAAAATTGTACTCATTAAAGACAAAACAAGACTTATTAGATCAGTAAGTGCTTCCCTGAGCATTTTGAGATGGCCAAAAATTATAGTACACTGGTACTTAAAGGATCAGAGTTATTCTGTGTGACAAAATAGCAGCTACAGCAAATGTCAGCACTGGAAGGCTCAATTTGCTGAGAACGTTCTTAAGATCACAGGCCAGGATTGGTGGTTTGTCCTGTCAGCAGTCAGAATCTGCTGGACTCATATTAAAGCTGGTTCACAAAGTTTTGAGGATCATTTGTGTTGTTCAACAGAGCCTTTGCTTTGATGAGAAGACTGGTTTCTGGTAGAATATTGCTCAGTTTCCTGGATTCAAGTAAAGGCAAGATAGCAATTTAAACATGCATAACCTTTTGCAAAATTATTTTAATTGTTTTATCTCTTGAAAACCAAGGGTAGAACTCAGCTTTTAATAAAATAAAAGCTTTTTTGTTAAAATATTTGCATTCGATGAAGTGTTTTAATACTAAGACATTACCCAAAATGTAATTTACATTCAGAAAATATTTATAAATGTATAAATGCTCTTAAAAAGTTGTATTACTGTTATTATCATCATGTTGTATAGTTTCTAAATAATTTATTACCATCATGGTATATAATTTTTAAATAAATGATTAGGGAGATGTCAGATACAGAGTGTTGAGACTATCGGTCAATACATGTTTAATTTTATATGATTTGAAAAATCTCTCCAACTACTACTTGACTGAGTCTCTGGCGCTCAGTTTGCTGGTGGAGGCAAGTAGCATGAGAGCTCTTAGTTACCTATCTATGAAGAGATGTGCGTGGACGAGAGCATCTGTCTCAAGAGTTTCTTGCACCCAGAAGAATCTAGGAATTTAAGAATCATTGACCTGGGAGGGACTGTGTGGGGGTTTCACTGAAACTAAGAAATGTGAAGTTTTTAGTAAGTTAGAAAGGAAAATGGAGGTTTTGTGATGACAGATTGTTAGACCAAGAGCAAGAGGACGGAAGATTGGGAATAGATGGGAGAGTATTGATATCCTGTTAAGGTGGTCCCTTGGGCTTACTGTTACTTTGATGTGCTGTCTCGGCTGGCGACTTATGTACTTTGCAATATTTATTGATGACACACTCTTAGTCTTCAGATAGATTCTGCTAATATCAAACAATATTGGAGCAGGAGGCCCTCCTTCTAAGCTGCTATGACTATGTAAATGAGAGTCCAGAAACGGCAAAGACTGAATGCACACAGGCTGAGACGATGCAGTCACATTTACTGGACTGTGTTTGGAATCTTGGAGATCCGTATTTAGGAAGCGATGATAAGAACTTTTGAGGCCTCCAATGAACAGTTTGAGAATGTTAGTGACTTGCTGTATGTGGCAGAATTAAGTCTTCTCTAACACAAGTGTTCTTTCTATTGCAGTGTACCTGTTTACAAATGTAAAATATCTCTATCTTGCTCTCTTGCTTTCCCTCCTACTTTTTAAAAACAAGTTTGGTAAATGCAAATACATAATTAACCCCTAGTGTCTAGAATATAATGCCAAAATATCTTTACCACTAAAGGGACTAGTAGAAACATGTGAAAAGGGCCCAAAGGCCAACATGTAGTAGCTCCCACTTGCCTAAGTTGGGATACTTGGAGCATCAAAAAGGGAATGATTGCAATGGATTAAAACAAACAAAATGTATAAGAGTCATGAGTTCATAATGATGTATATAAAAAAAAGTGGATTTCTTCTTCTAGCTAAGATGGAGTAATAGGGACCAGATTTACTCTCTTCCCTGAAACAGCCCCAAAAACTAGACAAAATAAATGAAACAATGGTCTTTAAGACACTGGGTATCAGACAACCAAGGACAGTGATCCCTGAGATAACGACAGACAATCAAGAGGAGGCTTATGATTTCCTCAGTCTAATGCACTGAAAGAGTTTCCAGCTCGCAGTGCAGGGAGGGATGACTCAGGCTGACTGTCTGAGTTGAGACAGTACAGAAAGCCCAGGGACACCAGGGCAGCCAGAGTTTAGACCACAGTGTGTTCCAGTGGCGAGAACCATGTGGAGAATCCTAGAGATCTGTGGCCGATCTTGCTTGTGCATCCAATCCTAAATAACCCGCGAGTAAAGAAGAAATCCAAAGAGAAGTCAGAAAGTATTTTGAGCTGAATGAGGATGAAAATACAACACATCAAATTTAGTGTGATGCTGCTAAAGCACTCTAGGTAAAATTATAGTAATCCTCTCCTTATCTGTGAGTTAGCTTTCAGTGGTCTCAGTTACCCACGGTCAACCACAGTCTGAAAATATTGGATGGAAAATTCCAGAAATAAAAAACTCAGAAGTTGTCAAATGTGTATTGTTCCGAGTAGTGTGATAAAGTCTCATGCTGTCCTGCTCCATCCTGCCTGGGATGTGAATCATCCTTTTGTCCATCGTATCCATGCTGTACATACAAGATGTTTTGAGAGAACAACCACATTCATGTAACTCTCATTACAGTATAGTATTATAATTGTTATGTTGTTCATCTCTTACCTTTCTAGTTTATAAATTAAACTGTATCATAGGTATGTATGTATAGGAAAAAACAGTGCATATAGGGTTCGATACTATCCACGGTTTCTAAAATCCTTTGGGGGTCTTGGACTGTATCACCCTTGTTAAGGGGGGACCACTGTAATAGCACTAAACACCTATATAAGAAGAAAAGAAAGGTCTCAAATCCATGATATTAGCTGCTACTTTATGACGCTTGAAAAAGAAGAGCAAATTAAATTCAAAGTAAGCAGAGGAAAGCAATTAATGAAGAATGAAGTGGAAATAAATGATATAGAAAATGAAAATAACAGAAAATTAATAAAACCAAAAGCTGGTTCTTTATAAAATAGATAAATGAATAAATCTCTATTGAGACTGATTAAGAAAAAGAGAGAGATAGAGAACTCAAATTGCCAGTGCCATGACTCATGACAAGGAAATATTATGGACATCTTTATACCTATAAATTCAACAACTTCGATGAAATGGAAAATGTATGTGAAAGATACAAACTACCAAAGCTCACTCAAGAAGAAATAGAGTACTTCAATACCCCTGTATCTCTGAAAGAAACTACATTTGTTGTTAAGAATCTTCTCTTTAATAATACTCCAGGCCCAAATTGCTCACTGGGGAATTTTCCAAATATTTGTTATATTTAAAAAACTTCATAAGTAAGAGATATATACATGAGTATTTAGTAGTGAACTGCCACGATGTTAGGGATTTGGTTTAAAATATTACAAAGGGGATAAAAAGAAGAAACAGAGAAAAGTGGATAGGCCAATAAAGGAGACAAAAATGGCAAAATATAGATAACTGAGCTCGGTTATAAGACATG